ATGGTATATCCAGGTTTTGGTTTATGTAAATGGTTGACAAACAAGTTTCCATGCAGTGTGAACCTGGCATAGGATCATAAGGTAATGCAACTTTTTTAAGGAAATGCAGGGTTGTAATCTAGAGAAAATATCAACGATAAGTAAAACATTTTTGTCTTTAGCCAAATTATAAATTTTTAACCAAATAAATATGTTAAGACTTAGACACAATACCCTGGCTAAATATGATGAATTTAGATACTGTAGCTGTTTGTTGTAGGTCTAGATGCATACTCCATCTTTCCTCTTTGTGTGTGTTTTTCTTTTAGGTAATAATAATACTTCTGCGTCTAATTACAGAATTTTTAAGGTGCTTTTATTGATTTAATGAATAACTTGATCCCTAGACATTGGCAAACATTTCATCAGAAACTTTAAAATATGACAAACTTTACCAAAATGATGCATTTTCTTATTGTTAATATTCAATGCTTACAAATATTACTTACCAGTGTGTTGAAGTTTTAGCTATTCATTCCAAGAGCACTTGTTGCTGTGGTGTTATTGTTTCATTTAAAGTCAAGGTATGACTTACCTGATAAACCTTTCTTAAAAGAAATTTCCTTTTCCTCTTGCTTTCATAAACTTCAGCCTGATTTCTGTTTATGTCAGGTAAGGGTCGTCATTCTGCCACTTAGATTTTGCACAAACATATTGGTATGTTCTAATTGTCAAGAAATTAATCAAGGGATTTATTTCGACTATGACAAAGCATTTGTTAATGCATGTCAATTTTAGACAGGCAGGAATAAATGACTGCTTGATATGTGTCTTTTTCTAGCTCTGGAATATGATGATTTTGAGTGAATGACTGTCTCTGGAATCCTTTTTTATATTATTTAAAAAGTTTAAAAAAAAAGAGAAAAGAAATTAAAAACATTTTAAGAGTAAAAACCCTTGCTGAAAAAAAGATATTTATAATCTTTCCACATTGCATATTCCTGTAATTGTTGCCCACTTCTCCACAGCTATGCAGAAGCAAGGCTGGAAAGCTGCCCTGAAATTCACATGGGAAATGAGAGGGAAAAAAACAACCAAAAGACTACATTACACAATTATTAAATAAGTTAATGAGATCTCATTTTCCTTGGAAAAAGACTATCAAGGCAAAAAGTTACCCTCAGCCTCTCCCACTGCTCCTGGAGAACCAACTCCTGGTAGTACAATGTGGAAAAGAAAGCAGGCTGCAAGAAATTAAATTAAATTACCATCCTGATAGATTTATGTGGTGCTTTACATTTTCATTGTGTTGTTTTCGTCTCCGAGTGGAAGTGCACCTGAGTTGGGAAAGAACTGTTAAATATGCTGTAAAGTAAGTGGAGAGAGAGAGGAGTAAAATGAGTTGTGAGAGAGAATGAAAAGTTGCAGATGTCATGCACCTCTAGCTCCCTCATTGGCCTGTAAATAAAAGAAGATTCTAAAAAGTGAAACACAGAGATCCAAAATGGGAATGCCACATGGTCATATTTTTGAGTTTTGTTAGTGTGCTTGTATACCTGTGTTGCTCTCGGTGAAAAGTAGAAGACAATCAGAAGAGTGGGCGTTGAATGGAGAAAACCCAGTAAATGATTGTTTCCATCAAGCCCAAGTCCATCCTATGAGTGCGTAAGGTTCTTTTATGCTACGCTAAATAGTTTTATCAGTTTTTAGCATTTTTGTGCTTACATACTAGTATTTTTTTAAATGCTTAATTATGGACCATGTGTCTGTGTGCATATTAAACCCCACCTGCATCTACACATGTACAACCGTTTGTAATTAAACAAAGCTGTCTACAGTTTTGATCCAAGTAAAGATTGAGGGCATCTCTTGCCTATTGACACAGCTGGCGCGACCATCTGGGGGAACCACATACCGTATGTGATATTACCAACCAGTCAGGGCATCAGTCATAACCTAGTGTCCAAAGTGATGACAGGGGACACAGAAAACAGGAACATAAACCACTGATATGTCCAGCTCCAGCTCGTGCTGGAAAGTTGCGGGAAAGGTCATCTATCTACTTGAGCCTGCTTTACAAACCACTGAGCCAGAGAGACGCAGCCACATCAGAGAGCCAGGAGTTGGTTTTATTTTTAAAATATATTTATATATATTTTTTTTTTTACAATACTTTGGTATCTGTGTCACAGCCCAGCCTCTGTCTGATATAACAGAGAAGCGGAAGGTGTGTGTGTTGGGGGGTTCAGATTAATGGTTCACACTGAGAGGGAGCACAGACCTACAGTAGCAACACTGTGATTTATTTGCCACTTAGTACTGATGAAGCCTCAAACTGCACTCACACACACGCACAGACACACATACACTAACATGCATTGTCACAACATTTTTCTCGATCAATGTCTAAGTTGGTTCATCTATTCCTGCATCTTGTTTAGCTATAAGGCTGTGCACACATGAGGGTGTGGGGATTTTGTGCTTACTTGCATAAATTACTCGATCTTCTTCAACATCTACCTCAAATAATCTGAACCATGTTTCTAAAATACCTTACAAAATGACTGATCCATACAAAAGTAGTCCCTAATATAACAGTCCTAGATTTTTTTATCTGAAAATTTGGGATTTTAAAACCATTTGGTCAGATACCCTGAAAGAAAAGAGTCCAACTACCTTTTGTCTGTACATATAATTTCACTACAGAATAAATTCAGGTGTTCTCAGGAAAATGTTTTTTAATCAGCGAAATCTTAATTTTATATTTCCAACAGAGACATGGCTTAATGAAAATATGGAGATGCCGATTTTATTGGAGACCACACCTCCCAATTACAATCTTCTCCGTCAGAACAGACTGTTTAAAAAAGGGGGAAGACTCGTTACTCTGGTTAATCATTCACTAAAGTGTAGAAAAGTGTTCCTGGGTGACTTTGAATCTTTTCAATATCTGACTGGTTTAAATCCTATATGAAGGATAGGGACTTTTATGTGTAAGTAGGGACCTTTAATAATCATTTGCGGGGTTCCTAAAGGCTCCATTCTAGGGCTACCCCTCTTCAACAACTACATGCTTCATTTACCTTTCCAACTGAATAAAACCAAAACTTAATAATCTTCAGATCAAATGAGGAAAGATCCAGAGTTAGCTTACAGCTTCAACTGCTACAGCTAGAAACCAATGATTATAGGCAAAATTTTGGTGTCATGATGGACTCAGACCTGAACCTTCAGAGGCACATAAAAGCGCTTTTATCATCTGAAGAACATTTCCGGGATTAAAGGACTAATGTCCAAGCATGATCTAGAAAAAAATGCATGCAATTATCTTTACTAGAATTGATTACTGCAAAAGTTTCTTCATAGGTTTGCCTAAAAAGTCCTTCAGAAAGCTGCAGCAGTTTGAAAGATTTTAAGCTTTGAAAATGTCACTAAGCAAACCAAAAAAAAAACATGAGAGGAAAGAACAGCATTAACTGAAGAAACAGCTGTATGCTCCTTGGTAACTAAAGCCGCAAAGGTCCTGATATCAGGTGTGAGAATCTGTTGGCACAACAGAGTCATAGGGGACACAAAACATATGGCAGGAAGGTGCTCTTTCAGATTTTTTTGGCCTGCATACAAAATCCTTTGTATGGCAGAAAGCTAGCATTACATGTCAACCAGAACACACTATCCCCACAGTGAAAAATGATGGTGACAGCATCATGCTGTGTAAATGCTCTTTCTCTTTAGTGGTGACTAGATGGAGCTCCACGTAGGTAGATCCTGGAAGAAGGCTTGTCAGTGTGTCAAAAAGAATTGAGACTTGTGTGGTGGGTCTCCTTTTATTAAGTGTAGTAGTGTAACAAGGTTGGAAATGTACTGTTTACAGAAATAGAGGACTGTGTAACTAATATAGAAAGGCTAGATTCAACTTACAAGAAAGAGGAAAAATATGTGAGTCTAATGGTGTGCAAAGTTGGTGGAAACTTACTTCAACATTCAATGCTGTGAAAGGTTATTCTACCAAGTGTTTTTCCTCCAAGTGTCAGAATTGAATGTATGCCACAGTTTTCTGGTTTTGTTTTATGTATTTATCTTTCATTTTTTGTAGAGTATCTGTCATTTCCCCATCCATTCACAGTGATGCACATTCCATTTCATAAAACACTCCATGAAACACTGAAAACATAGAGGTTTGTGGTTACAACATTACATAATGTAAAATATTGCAAAGGACAATCATAACTTTTGCAAGACAACGCATGTCTTTTGGTGTATATGTGTCTTAAATTAGTTGGCTGAGTGGGAGTTAAATGTGATAAACACTGTAAAAGGGACATACCTTCCATAAGTGTTGGGCAGATAAAGTGAATTGATGTTATTCACACCTGCATAACATTCCTTTAAACGCTACCTATTATTCATAAGCTGTCAATTTAGAAAATGTTGTCGAGGTAACCCAGTGATCATTTGTATGAAGTAAATTGTTGAGTTTTGACTTGGTAAATACGGGCAGAGTTAATTGAGGGCATCATCGCACTATGTGGGAGGATTTGACAAAATGCCATAAGTGTGTTATGCTGGCACACATTGTAATTAACACACGTGCAAATACATGTGTGCACATTAGTTCACCCGCTGGTAGGCACGTCCAATCACATGCATTTGCAGAATCAGAGATACAGCCAGACACATACTAGAGAATTTCTGATCCTGGATGTTTCTGCTACTTGGTTTTAGGGATCAGCATTTCCTCTTCTTGTTCTTGGGCTTTTCTGTCGGTATGAGGTTTACCAGAGTAGGGTTTTACACTTAGCTACATTTACCTCACATTACTCAGCTTCTTTTTCCCACAAAAGCACTCAGATCTCTACTCAGTTAATTATGCACTACTACACGGGAATGGTTACCCTTCCTATACAGTAGGAGAATAATATGATGTCTTTAATCTTACATGTGTTAAGAAACAATACAACAGACTATTGTTTGATCACTCTGGGTAATCTGCTCTCCGTTTTCTTCTGTTTTTACTTTAGAACCCAGACATCGTGCTTGTCCACTATTTGAATGTTCCAGCCATCGAGGATTGTGGGAAACCATGCGGACCGATCCTGTGTTCCATCAATACAGACAAGAAGGAATGGGCCAAATGGACCAAAGAAGAGCTGATTGGACAGCTAAAGCCCATGTGTTAGTATTTGCACCAAGAACGTATTTTAACCAATTTCTGTCACCTGAAATGTAGACTTTAGCTGTTCGATTTGATTAAAATATGCCCAGAACAGTCTTAATGGATACATTCTATTCAGTTGGAGAGGGACTGGCTTTTTAAGCAGGATTTTATGTCCACCCCTATGAGCTTATAATTGGATCTCTACAGTAAGTGCCCTTAGCACCTAACTCTAGCAAGCATCTCCAGCCGATATTCCTTAAATACTTTATCACAGTATCCAGTTCCCGGAGCTTTCTGCTGCTTCTGGGTCAAAGTTCAGCTCTTTCCTTGACCTCTGACAACAGTATGGCCAGTCTGAGACAGCAACTCTCCTCTGTCTGGACCATAGAAGCAGGCAAGGCATAGTAGGGGCAACAAGCTGGTTATTGATTCATGTTAGTGCATGTGAGGAAGAATATTAGACTCACCAGAAATCCCCTGCCACCCCTTCCTTGGCTCTTTCTGTCTCCTTCCTTCCTGAATGGATTGTTTCCCTTTGTTATGAGCCATACAAAAGATCAGCAAGTTGCTCTGTGTGCTTTTATGACGATACATCTGGGCATAGACTGATGTATGGCTTTGGAAAAAGCAGGAGTTTTGTCTGATGATGATTATTATATTCAAAAGGGGAATTCATGGAGGCATTAAAAAACTTTTAGTTCCCGTAAGATTCCTTTTAACAACCAGACTGTGATTCTGGTGTGTCTGTCAAGGGCCAGCAGAGCTGTGACTGATATTCCAATGGCCAATTATTGGCGATGTGGCCAGGTGAAGAGGAAGGTGTCAGCAGCTTTATAAGTGCACTCACATGCCGGCAGCATACTGAGTAGGCAGTCCAAGCCATCATCAGTGAGATGTCGGCTATATTGTCACCCTCAACACTGCATTAGTTTTAAGATGTTTCAACATAAAGTCTTACCTCAGGACAGCGTCAGAGCAACAAAGATCCACTATATTCATTACATCTGTGGCTTAATGTACAAATCAAGCTCCATTTGCAATAATGCGTGAAGTCATTAACTTTTGCGGTTGTTGGGACAAAGAGTCTGAGAGTAAGATGCCTTCAAGCTGCCAGGCAACATGGGGGTGGGGGGGGTTTAAAGAGCAAGAATTCCCTCTCCTGATTTATTTCTGTTTTCGCTGTCTGTCTTTCTTCTTCTCCTCTGTTCCCTTTCCTTACCCCTTACTTCTCAAAGACAGAGCGTGCCAACGTACTTCTTATTCGTGGAGAAACATTGCCATCTAGTGGTGATATGATATATCAAGTCCCCTTTCAAATTATAGTTTTACCTGGGGCGCATTAACTTGACCATGCCTTACTTTGTCTGATATTAAACCTTAGCTTGAACCTTATTACAGGGTACCTTTTATCAGAGAAATATATTGTTTCAAATTTACACATTATGTATTTTCTGTAATTATTTGGCTTTAAAATAGTTTATTTACTCTAAAAAAGGCTAGAAACATACATATATATAAAGTACAGATCCTTCTTCATTATCAGAATTGTCCAATATTATTAGAGCTTTAACAAGTTCATATGAAATGCAAAAATCTTGATGCATCCATTGTAGAGAATCAGATTTTTGGTCATGCTATCCTGCACAAGTATTTATTGCCCTTTAACTTTTCTTTTTTTTTTTTTTTTTTTACACCATTTATTTTATTTTCACAACTATCTACGATATAACAGCTTTAGGTCGTATTTAATAGACAGTGCCATAGAACTGCATGAGTGCAAAGTAAAAGGAAATTCATATTCTTATACTCTGGAACCCTTGAGAAAAAAAATAGTACTACTAAGAGACTTTCGAAGTTGCCTAAAACAGTCCACGTGTAATTTAATCTAAGTTTAAAAACTGCTTTTCGGTGAGAGTATCAGCCAGTTGTTAAAGAACACGAACCACTGTGAGGAGAAACTTGATGTTTCCAGAGAAGCTGTAGAAATTGACATCTTAGGTGGAAAAATCCATCGATCAGCTAGTCATGACTCCACTGATATGGACTTTATGAAACAGTGGCAGGAATAAACCCCCAAAATATTTACATAATTACTATTTGCCACTATGTTCTGGACACAAGAGAAAAAAAGACGTTTTAGCATTCACATGAAACCCTTTAGGTGGTCAGAAAACTAAGACATAACACCTCCCTGAGTCAACTATCCTCTATATACTGAATACTGATCAGTCCTGGAAGACAATCTTTTATAGAAGAGCTTTAATGGTACTGTTTGGATTGAAACAGTATTCATGTGTTAGAATGTCCCAGTCAAAGTGAGAGCTCGACTTGAAACCTGATGCTTATAAAGGCTCATCTTCTAATCTTACTAAGCCTGAGCTATTTTCCAAAGATTAATGGCTAAGTATTCCCCAACACAATAGGTGGTAGAGAAATACCCCAAAACACTTACCATTTTAATTTTTAAAGGATGGACATTTTAACATCAATTTGTCATTTTATCCCACTTAATACAACATATTGGGGGCTTTCGATGTGATTTTTAAAGTGATAGATATGATAACATTTAGGAAGTATTAATATGTTTCTAATTAATTCTCTTTACTTGCTGCGGTGCTATTTGTTTGTGAACAGAGTGTTGCTTTTATACCAAAATGTTCTTATCATATCGCATATTGTACCATATATATTATCTTGACTTTCATAACTACATTAAATAGCTGACTGAACGAAAGAAAAAAGTGAGAGAATTGATCCACCAGATAAACAGGATCCTTCTCTTTTTGACTTTGGTAAAAACACTTATGCTTTTTGTCTGTGAACAGTTTTAACGATGCTCTCGCCTTGAAGTTCAAGTACAAGCTCTGGTTAAATAAAGGCTGCATCAGGGATTGAGACGGAGTATATACTGGCATCAGTTCCAACACAGCTAGCTTGATTTCCTTTTTACATTTGCTAAAACAAACACACCCAGTTCTACAGCTATGCCCAACAGCTTTACTGACAGCAGTGCTAACAAACAGCGACAGGCAGAACAGCCTGCTGGGTGGATGATTTGGGCTAAGAGATGTAAAGGAAAACTGGATGGACTATCATAGCTTCTGTTGGAAGTGTTGTATCCATGTATTTGTTCTGTGTAAAATGTTGCCATTTGTATGACATCATGCACTCATCAAAATTATCATCAGACTTGGTTGCTGCTTGGTTCCTCTACTCTTTCTGCCTAAGTTTAAGCGTAATGGCGCTGCTCCTGTCATGTCAGCTTTGGAATAAAACAGTTAGTGAGAAGAGCAGACAGGCAGACATGGGGGTAACTGTACATCAGCCACCCAGAGCCTTCAGGGGTGACACTCATCTAGATGAGGAGGACTGTGGCAATCTGGCACTAGCGATTAGGAAAGAGAGATGAGATTGTTAGGGCAAAGGTATAGCTCTTCTTTGGGTATAGAATTTGTTGTGTTGTGCACTTGCTGTTAGATTGTTAGAGTCAAATTAGCAGAAAGGACACTTCCGTAATCTGCAGCATGCACACAGGTTTCCCCATGAACATATACAGAAACATTTTAGTTATGCTGCGATTCCCATAATGTCTTTATTAGTGATTTAAGCATCCACTCATTTGTGCAATTTGCATTGCATCTGTCACAAGGTTAATGGTGAGTGAATCCTTGGCGTTTAGTCAAACCTCCAGACAAACAATTATTTGTGCAGTAATTAATTTGATATTAGATGAAACTTCTCTTTCACATTGGTTATCTATAATTTTTTCACCAATCACTTAGAAATAAAGCCTAAATTAATCTTAGTGTTTTTATAACCTACCCCACTGAATTATCAGGGGATTTCAGCTTGATCATGGCAGCTCTACTTACATCTGCTGGTGATAATTTGTAATCTACCAGAAGATCTTAAAGCTTTCATGTCTGATCTTCGTCTCAGCCTTCAATAATGTTTTCCCCATTTATTCACCTAATTTAACATTTTATTCTTTCATTCACTATACAGTTCATCCTATTATCTGATTCCCGTGTCCTTTAGCCTTAAAATGAAAACAGCTAATTCTTAGCTTTTTCTCAATACTCCAAGCCTCTCTCTCTCCTAATATATTTTTCTCTTTCTTTTTTTAACCAAAGAGCTGCTGAAGTGTAAAGAACTTAAATTAAAGCTTGCTTGATTTTGTCTGATAGTCTAAATATGCTTTTACTCTGATATATTACCTTTTTCTACGGTTGAGAGCCTGAGCACTGTAGCACTCAGTGGTGTCTCCTACCAGGCTTTTATGGCCACTAAAAAGCACTGTCTATCCCATCAGAAATCATGTCGGCTTGACAAGTGGAGCAATAGAAAGTATTAGCAGGTCCCACTGAGCCATGACTGAAGGAGGGAGGTAAACTTTCCTGGAGAAAGGCTTCTTTTCTCACTTGGTACAGCAGCAGCTGCTTGGTAATTTTCCTCCCCACAGGTTTTAAGAACAAAGTAACAAATCTGGGCGGAGGTTGAGATGAGGTCAAGTTTTCATCAGTTTCATCAGCGCTTATGTGCAGAATCCTGTAGCAGAGCGGCAAACACTGAGACAAGTGAATGGAGAAAGAAGTATTACAACTAAAAAGTGTGCCCCAATGAGACATGTCACTTTACCCTTCATACTCTTCATCATGATGTGTGCCAATGCCATATAAGTTGGGTTTTCTGTAAATTATTTGAACAGGGTTTTTTTTTCGTCTTTATTAAAATTGTAACTCATTAAATAGGTATGATGCGTTAAAACCATGATTTTGAGGGATAACCAAATACTGGTTATTTAATATAAGTCTAAACCCAACAGGCTTGATATTATTTATGCACTCTAAAATACATACGCACATTCAACTAACATTAGCCAAAATCTTCCTCACAAAGTTACAGAGAGCGTGTCATTTTTAAAGCATCAGCAAGCCTCTTAGCATAATTGGAAATTTTTGTGTAGATTTGTTTTCTATCTGATGGGAAACAGCAGTAGAGGAACAAACCTTTCACCAGACTGGGAAACCGCTACCAGTATGATGAGTTAACTTTAGTCCTGCAATCTTCGTAGTCATCTGATTCTGTGGGTTTTGGTAAAATAGAGATCCTCAGCATTATTGTAGAGCTAGCAATAATGCAGCAACAGTGTGACACTGTCACATCAATATGAACCAGAGTATCTGAAAAATGTTTCTTCCACATTTCTGAAGTAATACAAATAAAAGATAAGGCAGGTCAGAAGGTTGGAGGAGAATTTGGCCTTGTACCTAATAAATTGATCAGACAGAGAACTTTCTGTTTTGTTCATTAAATTTGGCCACTTGGGCTTTTTCATTGTGGATTACACTTTAATCCTCAGATAGTCATTGAATTCTACCTAAATAATAATAAAGCGACACAATTGTATCATGGAAAAAGTCCTATACCTCGACTTGATGCAACAGAATAATGAAACTCATCATTCTAAATAATACAAAACATGGGTATATCAAAAGCACTGAACGAGACTTTATAGGGCTTGATATTTAATAAAATGCACCTATTTTTTTTATTTTAAATTATTAAACACACAATTTGAATGTATTAAATTCAGATACTGTTTTGGATCTTTGTCCTGTTAGAACAATGCTTCATATTAAAGTCACGTGGCTCGCTTTGTATGCTGAGGAAGTTTCCTCGTACGGCACTTGATTTGACTATTTGGGCACCTGAATTTGTCCTTGCACATAGGTAAAGTGTAGACAAGCACAACAAAATCAGGGTGTAGTTCTCCCCTTGTTGCAAACCTGTCAGAAACAGTCTATCTTTTTATTTGTTTGTCTTTTAAGAGGGTGGGAGCTGTAACACCCACTGCCATAGATGTGTATGGTCTCTCTGAATGCTGCCTCCCCTTCTGAGACAGTAGGTTCTCTGGAGGTCCCTGAGAGAGAGATGGGGAAGGAAAATAATCCTCTGGTTGGTATTAATAACCCTCTGTTGTGACTTTTTATGTGCCACAGTGTTACAAGCTACTCAGAGTTATAGTACGTCACTCAATAAAGCTGCTGTAGAAGCAGTCATCAGCTCCCTCTTCAAGGATTCTCAGACAGTGGGGCCGCTGTTTGGCCTTCTTTTCCTCAGCCAAGTTATTGGAGCTCCATTTGTTTAGGACCAAGTTGTTGTTCTCAGAACACAGCACTGGCCACTGGACCCCCTCCTTGTAAGCAGTCTCATCACCTCTGGAGATAAGGTGGTGTCATCTGCTGATTTAAAGGTTAAGTTGTCTTAGATGGTGCAGGAATCATGTGGACTGCCAATATTGGGGCTGCAGAAAGATGGGGACCAACTTCAACTGTTTGTACGTGGTCAGCAGCAGGTGGTGCTTCGATGTCCTATGTTCAGTATCTTTACTGTCAGTCTCTCCAGGAGTGGTGCAGATGGCATCCTCTATCATCAATTAGACTTGGAAGAGTAAGTTTTGGTGTTTCTTTCTTAGAAGTTATACACTCTAACTAGAGATGTAATAGAACCTATTCAAACAAGGCAAATATTAAAATAACAAAACTGGTTTCATAACACATAATATAGTCTGATAATAAGCTCCCACAATACCCTAACATAAACCCTATTCACAGTTTGTTTAATGTGGTTTACAATCAGGTCTGTGCCATACAATCAACCTACTTACAAGTCCATCACCAATAATAGCACTCAATATCCAGAATGAGGGCAAAAGCTATTTGGCTACAAAAACTGTGAATGTAGTACAACTCTTTAAAGTGCATTATTCCAAATATTAGTGAATGGATCATTTTTAGGCCTGTATGTATGCTCCTGACCCTTAGAGAACATTCACAACTATGAACTCTAACGGTGGGCCAGTTCTTGTTTTAAAAATTCATTGTCCATTAGTCAAGTTGTTGTAAAACCATTTCACGCTAAAATAACTATCCAATCAAATGTATCTTTTTAGATAAAATCCTAAGAGCATTAAACTCTGTGAGTAAATGTACTTCTTACCAGAACTGTTAGGCTTCTTATTATAAGGAAAAGTTAGCTAAATAAAACTGCCTAAAACAACATAATCACAACACCAAGTTAGACACTTGGAGGTCTCTGCATTACTATGCCACTGCGTGCTTTAAGAAAGGTGTTGTAACTGAACAGTAGGGACAACTGGCAGAAAGACAGGGGCAGTGGGTGGGGGTGGAAGGCTGGCGTGGCTGGTGGTCTGTTGGACTGGCTGACATCTCTGTCTCCTCCTCTCTCCCGGCAGTTCATGGCATCAAGTGGACTTGCAGCAATGGGAACAGCAGCTCTGGCTTCTCAGTGGAGCAGCTAGTACAACAGATTCTGGACAGCCACCAAACTAAGCCACCTCCCCGGACTCACAACTGCCTCTGCACGGGTACCCTGGGTAAGGGCTAGTGGGCGGGGCGTTATCCTTTTATTAAAAAAAAAGAACAATAATTTGCAGACAAATCCCAACACAATGGTTTGTGTGATAGATAAAAGGTGTTGTGTGAGCTATATATATATATATATATATATATATATATATATATATATATATATATATATATATATATATATATATATATATATATATATATATATATATATATATATATATGGGGGACTAACTTCTAGCAATCAGCCCTAGTGGGAGCAGGGATTATCATAAAACCAGGGAAATATCTCTAACTCTGATATATATATATCTAAAATATATCTAAAAAAGTGGACACCCAGAAGGTTACGATTTGGGGATAATTAAGCAAATTGTGGGAAGAAATTGAAGCAAAAGTTTAATCTACATGTAGAAAGCTTGAAAAGCCATAGCTTTTCCACACTGTGTGAAGGTGGAAATAGCGGGTATGCGTTTAATGGTGATAAAGAAGGTACTACTTGGGCCCTAAAATGTCGCCTAATCCAAGCATATATTCTAAGAAAATTCTTAAAAATTTTATTATTAGTATAAAATACAGGAGATGTTGCTGTTGGAAGGCATAAAAGAGAGTACAAAGAAGAAGTACTACATGAGGGGCAAAAGGTGTTTCACATATTTCACTTATTTTGATTAAAGAAAAAACATAAAACAGTCAAATCATGTTACATCTTTATTTTGTAAAAAAGATGCAATTTTATTTACTGTTTTATTTCTTCTATTATCTAACATCTTTTTTGTCTAAAACATACCTGACATGCTTCTACGGTAACTTCCATCTTAGTCAAAGGTGTTGTCAGCTGCTTTTCATTAAAGCAGCTGAGATTCAATTTTGTGTTTCACAGTTTATGTAATGTAACAAAACACTGAATGTTTATAACTCAATACATAAATCATACTACAGATATATCATTTTATAAGTCATCAATGTGCCTTATTGATTTTAAGGTATTGAGAAAAAAATTGTGAACATTTTGCCTCCAAGATAGAAAAAGTTGTCTGTGTTTAACATAAGGTTTTATTTTGTCAGTTATTAAATACATTATAGTTACACTCAAACTACTTGTAAAAAGAAATGTTCAATGTAGGTTATATTGATGTAAATTGACAAAGCTTCATATTGTTGCTTAGCATTTCACTATTTAAAGGGTACAGGAGCATAGATGGAAATGTATTTAGTGGTTTAATTGGAAGAAATAAACATGCATGACATTGAAAATAGTTATTACAACAGAAGATGCATTTTTTTATTACATTTTTTTGTAGATTATGGCTGATACCTAATATAAATTCAATATATTTAAAAAAAAAATTACACTGATTTTAAGATTACATAAAGAAATTTAAAGAGAGGTTTTGAATTAAAAAACATGGGCATGCTAGAAAATATGTATGTTCATGTGCAGCCTTCAGTTCCTCTGCATTATAGGTCTTGTTGTCTCTTATCTTCCTCTTGAAAATATACAGATTCTATGTGGAGCTTAGGTCAGAGCTGTTGCTTGCCAGTCAAGCATATTAACCATGGTAGTGGTAGTACAGACCCGGTACTGGTACTTTGGGCTGTATGGGCAGATGCCAAGTCCTGTTGGATATTGAAATCATCATATCTATAATGCTTGTTGGCAAAGAGAAGCAGAAAGTTCCTACATTTTCCTTGCAGAAAGCTTCTATCACCTTAGACTTAAGAAACTGCATGGATGGAATACCTCCTCAGATAATAACTGATGGTTAAATTTTCCTATTGAATCTCAAGCAATTGGAACTCAGTGCCCCTCCGCTTAGGGATGTCCTGTGTTAGCCACATAGAGAGGACATCAATACAAGGACTGAGTGTGTGAGTGACTACATGACTTCTGTGCAGATAACACCACCCCTACCAGAACAGCAAAATGCTTTCCAAATAATAAACCATAGATCACAAGTGATCTGAAGCAACTGTTCAACTAGAAAAAAAAAACAAAGCAGAGACAGGGAATAAATTTAATGTAGACAGAAGAAACTTAAGGTCAAGATAAGAGGAAGCAAGGAAGCATACAGGACGAAGCTGGGAAACAATATCAGAGATGTGTGGTCAGTCGTGAAGAAGATCACAAGCTTCAAGCAGAGGGATGATCAGACAGATGGAAGTCTGGACAGAGCCGATGAACTGAATACATTATTCAACAGACTCAGTTCAGGAACAACCTCAGCATCCTTTTCTGCCCAAACTCACATGGACATCCTGCCCTCTTCTGGCATTGAATCCTACTTCTGATTTTATTGTCAGCCAAGTCTGCAGATGGTGCTGCTTCGTCTGACTTTCACCTGTCTGTCTCTAGAAGTCAAGTAAAGAGGCAACAGGAGAGGCTGATTCATAGTAAGTCACTCATTCAGAGCATCTCTGTGGGATTCTGGATACAGGTCCAGTGATGTGGAAGACCATCTGCCTTGTTCCAGTGGCAAAGAAGACTCAGCCAACAGTCTTCAGTGACTATAGACCTGTTGCTCTGACATCACACATCATGAAGGTCCTATAGAGACTTCTGTTGGTTCACGTCAGCAAGCAAACAAGCAGATATAGTCGGGCTTACACTGTACGATTTTTTTTGCCCTTTTCGGGGCGACTTTCCAGTCGTGCAAGAATTTTTCGATCAGCCCGACTTTCAGCCTGATTGTGCAGTGTAGTGTAGTGTACAGGGGATAGATGAGTCCAAGTAGCGTCATCTCTCTGCGGAGCTCAGTCTGACTTGGTTTTTAGACATACAGTGTGAGCAGGTAGATCACATCAGAGCGTCATGCTGCACAGTGTGAGAACATACATCGTGACCTGTGAACTCACGCTGTACGACGAAACCCTATAAGGCTATAAGCCGGGCCTACACACTGTGTATGTAGCAGGACCCCCTGCAATTTGCTTATCGCTTTGATTGAGTTAAAGATGCCATCATACACCTTCTTCAAAAAATCCACTTTCATTTAGACTTCCAGTACCAGAACAAGTCTTGTCATCTGCAGAAATACAGAGATGATTCTGAAGGCAAGGCAGGGCAGATGATTGTAGATTTCAGAAGAAACTGGAACAAGATAAATCCTACTAACATCAAGGGAGAAGAAATGGAGGTGGTGGAAGAATATAAATACCTTTGTGTTTATCAGGACAACATAGTACACTGGGGATGCAACTGTGAAGCTGTCTACAAGAAGGGACACAGCAGATTGTACTCCCTCAGGAAGCTTAGGTCCTTTGGCGTTTGCAAGAAGATTCTACATAACCTCTGTAAGTCTGTTGTGGAGAGTGTGAACTCTTTTGCCATCCTCTGCTGGAGTAACAGTATTAGAGCTAATGACGTAAAAAGCCCAACAAGCTAATTAAGAAGGCTAGCTCTGTTTTCAGGACTCCTCTAGAACTTCTGGAGTGTCTTCATTAAGAGGCTTCTCCAGACCCGGTGCAAGACATACCACTACAGGAGATCCTTCCTGCCTACAGCTATCAACATCTACAACATTTGGATAAAAAACAACCTAGGAGTTGCTGCAACATTTAATTTCCCTTTGAGATTAATAAATTATCTTTGAATTAAATTGCATTATTCCTTTAAATTCCAATTAAAAGACATAAATGCACATGCATTTAAAACATGGCCTTGGACCACTTAGCCAATCTCAAGGCTGTGGTTATTCCTATTTATTTTGTACACTTTCTATTACATTTTTCCTTCCACTAAATTTTCAGTTTATTTATTCGGGTAAAAAGATCTGTGAGTCACCAGTTTATTAAGCAATAGTCTTTTATGTAAAACAGTCAGTGGCTGTCTGCTGAACAACTATTAAATGTTTAATTAGTTGTAACTGATAATTAAATTGAAAGAAAAATTAATAAACTAGAGAGCTTCTTGAAATAGGTATATCAGCTTTTTAATAACTTGTAATTTTATACAATGCACCTGTATATGATAAACTAAACTTAACTTAACATCTCTATTTGATATGGTCTGTGCCATCAATATTTAACAAAACATTTTCTATTTGTATTTGCTCTTTCTAAAAGCAAAATAATGCATTCATCTTTAAAGGGGTCATAGAATGATTATATAGGCTATTTGGTGCTGGTCCTTAAGCAGGGGCGTTGCTAGGCACAAAGCTTTACTGGGGCACTGGCCCCCTATCGCATATGCCCCTCCTTCCATACACAAATACAGACAAGCACACTGCCCAACCCTGATACATTCCAACCAAAATTACCAGTTGAGATAGTAATAAGTGTAAGAGCATATTTGTTTTAACAAACATGAACATTTTCAACATTGCAGCTATAAAAAATAAGACATTACCAACTTTAAAAATAAAACGTTTCCTTATACACATTCTGAAGTAATCATTAATTTCTAGGTTTCAGAGTTTTAGTTCAGGGGAAATGTTAACTCATCCTGAACTAAGTTCAGGATGAGTTAATTTTTTGAGCATTAAAGTGTACCTCCTATTTTTCATTTTTGCAAAGCGGTCAATCACTAGACTGTGACTCAGCTTAGAAAGTTCTTCCTTTTCAACTGATAAAATAGCAAGATGATGGAGCCTGTCTTGTCCCATTGAGTACCTTGGCCAAGTGTGGAGCTTTCTCAACACACTGAATGACCTTTCATAACTACAGCTTTTGACTGGGATTGTGAGGGAGATCTGGATGACCTGCGTTAGTGTTGGGAATATGATGTTATCAAGCAAGTTGAAAACACACTGCATATCCTTGATGACAAGGCTTTCTTTTTCAATCATAAAAAGCTTTCAAACCATTTTGAATTAAACAAACGTTTTTTTACTCCAAATTTGTGCTGGGGATAGTGGGACAACTTCACTTGTTTAGGACCATCATGCTTTCCCCCTAAGTCACTAATGTCCCCTTTTATTTGTGGAGGCTGGTTGTTGCATCCTCATCACCTTCATGGTCCTGTCTCTCATGTCTCTCACCTGTCCCTTGCCTGTCAGTCTCGCCTCATCCTCCCTTTCCTACTCCAGCACCTTCATTCTCATCCTCTACAGCAAACATTAAAAAAACGTAAATCTATAATTATGTAAATATCAATCATATTGCTTATAACGTCCCTAATGTAACTGCTTAGCTTAAATCACTAATTCATCATGGGACCTTACCTCCCTCTCTCTCATCTTGTTTTACTGCTTCCCTGTCTCTGCTTCGTGTGAGGAATTTCCTGATATCCATCTACAAACCAATGCAGTCATTTTCAGTTAGTAGCCTATAAATCATGTGGTTTCACTGGGAAAATATTAAAATTGACAGGTAAAAAACATTACCAGAACTAAAAATGCGTCGCGGCCGCACAGTGTCCCATCCAAAACAGTTGAGAGCAGTGTGTTAGTTTACCTGCAGTTCATGCAGTGACATGCGCTGACGTGGGGGCGCTAATTCATCCTCAATTTGGAGTTAACAACACACTTGCTGCGCGTTGGAATTATCTAAATTGATGCATTAAAAAATGTAATACTGTTGCAAATATTCATGAGATTTATACTGGGGCACAGCTCATTTATACTGGGGCACGTGCCCCAGTAAATGGGGTCTGGCGACGCCGATGTCCTTAAGGTCTCTGAATAGGGTGTATAACATTGGTTGGCCTGAAAATGGCATATTTGCTGTTCTATGAGCCCTAATGCAAGCCTGGTTAAGAGCCTTAGATTGAAAGGATAGGTTTACTTCCTTTTATGCTACATCATGAATATTTAGATGAGCTTGCGCTGATTGGTTTGTTTACAACAAGCGAAGCTGTTGAGCAAAGATGCATCATAGCAACACGCACTCATGGTACGGTGACCAGACGTCCTCTTTTTCCCTGTCATGTCCTATTAATCATGCCAAAAAAAAAAATGTTGGTCGACTTTAGGATGTTGGTCGACTACAGTGCAACCAACCCCCCCACCAACAACCCCCCATCCACACCCCCACAAACCGCCCACCACCACCGCCAAAGACAACCGCCACGCACCGTGACCCATATATACACACGTCATCATTAATATACTAATGTATGTCACTAGACATGGACATACGTTAGTATATTCTGCTGTAAAATGAGTAATACATTTTCGTTTTTTCCTGGAGGATTCAACCTATTTCACGGGATTCACAGCTTTGAGTGGTAACTAGGTGACTGTCAGACAGGAAACCAAAACTAATTGGGTTATTTTTCTGACTAATCCAATCAGCGCACTCTCTGACAACCAGTCCCCTGAAACGCTTGTTGAACAGAGCATCGATTTGGACAGATACACACAGGTTTCACAAGCAACCTCCTCCCCACATCCCTCCCTCTCTTGTTGTCTGCTCAATCGAAGTAGTTCAAATCCGCACATGGTGCAGGAATTATTGTTGGTCCTGCATGCTCTCACTTGCATTAAAAAAACACCACCTCGCATAGTCTAACATCCGGGACAATTTATCCGACTCATGGGCATTTGTGAATAACTATCTATCTAAGGTCGTAGACTGAGAACCTTCATCAGCATATCTATATCAAGGAAACTTACAGAACTTCCGGGATGTCTGTTGCCAGCCCCCACCCCCCCTCCTCCAGCTGAGAACGGGCGGCTCACAGCTCATGGCTCTCTGCTATATTCAGAATGCAGGTTGTGCCATTTTCACAGAGAGAATTCATGAATTCCAATAATCCTACAATTTGATCATGTACTGTAGCTGTCTTATTGATGTTTTTTTTTTTGATCAACATTTAAAATATGATGATTTTAATCTGTTTACTCTTTGCTCCTTTATATAGGTGCAGGGAGCAGTGTACACCACAAATGCAACAGCGCCAAACATCGTATCATCTCCCCCAAGGTGGACCCCCGTTCTGGCTATAGCAGTGGACACTCTGAGGTTCAAAACAATGATGTGTCTGAAGGGAAGACCGAACACAGTGCCCATGGTGGAGGGAAATCCGGAGGGGGCACTGCCAGGGAGAAACGCAATGGCAAGGTCCACAAGCCTGTCCTCCTGCACCAAAACAGCACAGAAGTGTCATCCACCAACCAGGTGGAAGTCCCTGACACTACACAGAACTCCCCAGTGTCCATCAGCAGCGGCCTCAACAGTGATCCGGATATGGCTGACAGCCCTGTTGTGACAGGAATGAGCCATGTTCCCTCTGTCATGTCTGGACTGTCTCAGAGTGTCTTCATGTCTGAGGTTACTGGAGAACCTGTCTATAGCATGTCTCCAGCTGGGGGTCCAAATGCTCATCTGATGGGTGCAGATGCCACTTCACAAGGGTTGGTTTTGTCCATGACTGCTGATCGACACAAATTTGCCTTCCCTGGAGGAGGAGGAGTAGGGGAACCTGGGACTACCACTGCAGGGGATAGTCTGTCTATGTTGTCCACAGCTGGTGTTTCTGAAGAACTGGTGCTAACCAGCAGTCTCGATACTGGAAACATCAAGATTCCAGAGACTAATATGAACTTTGATCCCGACTGCTTCTTGAACAACCCCAAACAGGGTCAGACCTATGGGGGCAGTGCTCTGAAGACAGAGGGTAACTCGTCCTCAACATCCTCTTCCTCCAATGGCAGCAGTAGCACCAATGGGAGTCTCCAGCGCTCCCCGAACATGTCAGACAATAGCTACCCCTTCAATTCAGCTCTCGTTAAAAACATCAAGACAGAAGACACCTCATTTGAGCAGCAGATGAAAGAAAGTGGTTATCAGGTCGGAGGAGTAGTGAACTGTGGTGGTGGTGTGTCATCTGGTACTGGATCAGGTCAGGGCAGTCTTAGTCTGACACCAACAGGCACGCTGCTTCCTTCAGGAGGGGGACTCAGTCCTAGCACCACTTTGGAGCAGATGGATTTCAGTGCCATTGATGCCAAGCAAGAATATACTTCTAGTGCTACCCCAGTAAGCTATGGTCAGGCAATTCCTAGTCCACATATGCAACACCAGAATCGTTCGCCTAGCTTCTTCCTTCAGGAGGCTTCTCAAACCAACCAAGCGCAGCAGGGCAGGTCCAGCATTAGCCAGAAATCACATCTGATGGAGCACAACACCCATGACTCTGGAGCTTATATGGGGCTGCAAGTGGTAAAGACTGACTCCCCTGGTAGCAGTGGCCACCTTCATCATCACCACCAGAACCAGACACAGCACAGGGCAAATTGCAATGGAGGTTCACCCACAGAAGGGTCCGGCCAAGCAAGTTCTCTACAGCTGCTTCAGTACCAGGGGCCCTTTCCTGGACTAGGATCAGAACATGAAGAGGTTGTTGGTTTAGAGCAATCTGGTAATGTGAATTCAGCTCAGACTGGAGCCACTGAAAATGGAGGCGAGAACCTCCTTAAGCCAGGGGATCACATTCAAGCATGTGGCACAGGAAACAGAGAAGGAGGGAGATCGGAGCACTACCTGCAACAGGCTTCAGATGGTGCCACTGGAGGGGCTGGAGCCACAGGTGAAGGAGTTACGATGCATAATGGAAATAGTGATGGCGCCAACCGCACCCAGCAGCTACAGCCTCTCCTCCATGGCACAAGTATGGTGCAAGGACTCTACAATGCAGTGGGGGCTCATCAAGGTCTGAGTGCAGCAACTAATAATGGAGGAACAGGTGGAAGTGGCATGGAGATCAGTCTGGACCACTTTGACATATCGTTTGGTAACCAGTTTTCTGACCTTATCAATGACTTCATCTCAGTGGATGGTAGTGGAACAGCCATGGCTGCTGGCAGTGCCCTGTATGCTCACCAGTTAGCCACATCTCACAACACTGAAAATCAGAACACAGCAAGTGGGCCCACACAGGAGGATGGAGGAGCCAGAGGCTCAGGCTACAGCCCTTCAGAGCTCTGCCTTCAACCTTGTTGTAGCCCTCAGTCTCTAAGTGGAGGTGTAGGAGCAGGGGGCAACACTGGAGAAGCTGGATCATTGTCCTACATGAATGTTGCAGAGGTTGTTTCTGCAGCTGTTGCTCATGGGGCTTTGGGAATGTTGCAGGCCACTGGCCGCCTCTTCATGGTCACTGACTACTCCCCAGAGTGGTCTTACCCTGAGGTGAGTGATATTACTCTTTCCTTTTCTTTTTTCTTTCTTTCATTGTTTCTTGTATGGGAAAACAAACTTATCTGAAATCAAAGACAAATTATTTAGTCAGTATTAGAGGAATTAAAATAATATCAGATTTACAACTAAAGCATTGGTGAACATCCCCTTTGACTCTTACTTTCTTTTGCAAACTTTTATTTTGAATGTCTCAGTGAATATTAGTTTTCCATGCAGTAGCCATAATTTGAATGATCACACTGTCCCAGTTGTTCTTATTAAGTCTTTAATAATACATTTACTAACTTTTAAAATTTTATCTTCCACTATTAGTCTACTAACTTAGATTATCTAATAACGAAACTTCTAATCTTTTACTAAATAACAGCCATTCTGACTCTGGCAATGAGACCAACTGGTTAAAAGTATTTCATGAAAGGAAGCCTATCAATGCATCATGTTATTGATTTTAAAATACCTTCTTCTGTACAAGCATTTGACAAAACATGTTGGTGGGAAGAAGCTTCAGGAGAACTAGAGTTCTCCCAACTGAGTGGGGTGCTGAGAAGAGAGAAAGTATGTTACATAATGAGGGCATGTTTTTATATATAGGACAGACAGAATATATAGAGGTAACAGTGGTGATAGACCTTTAAGTTGCAAACCGTAATTTGTAGAATTTGCAAAATTTGGGATTTTTTTCACCAATAGCTTCTCAAGGATTAGTTACTATGAATGATTTTAAGGTGCTGCTTTGCCTATGTAATACCTCAATGTAAACTCTAGAGGGCACCACAGCCCATCTAGTCAGACTTGGTGGATTTTGGGGGAGAAATATCAATGGATTTCCACATGATGGCAGCAAAGAATAATGGAATGAAGTTTTTAGCCACCTGGGTCAGTTTATGTTTTGGTCATTTCATGTTTTCTTTATTAACTGATTTTAAAAAACAAAAAAAGACGTGTTTGTATGATTTTTGTTTTAAAATACAGAAATAAAACACAAAGCATTTCTGTTTTTCTTTGTCAAAAAGGGATGAGCAAGTTTGAGTTATGGTTTGTTTTCTTATTTGGATTAACATAAAATTAATTTAATTTAAAATAGAAATTAAACATTTCATTTTTAGAGACCAGATGTGGTCACCTACTTAACAACAGCACCAACATGACAGGGAGCCATTGTTGCTATAGCCAAGGATTAAATGTCATCCGAACTTTACTCAGTTGTGAATTTAGACATGGCAAATAAGGATTGTCATCCAAAGAAGCAAATATCACAATTAAGTGGAAGACTGCAAACATGTTCTGCAAGAAGCGTGAGGAGATTTTTCAGTAAAATTGATTAAATATACTTGCATATGTTTCCGTCAAGACTGAGGACTGCTAAGCAGCTACCATCAAGCCTTCATCCATTGAAAAACATTCACCTGCTGATTTGGTAACCTCCGTTGTGGCCACAGCAGAATTGGACAGACTAACAAAATCAGTGCTGCTATACAGTTGGAACCACCAACTGGCATGGCAGTGAAATGTGTTGCCCAATGACACAACAACTGAGATGGTTAGAGCAGGAGGTGGAACCCACTGGTTAAAGGATAAACCCCTAGGTCCTGAGTTTCATGCAGAAATCTTCTTCCTTCCAGACATTCTTGTCATATCTGCACCCTGTCACATTTGGTGCTCTTGTGAAATAAGTAACAACATCCTTCATCAAAAAGCCACTTTTTTATTTCATTGTTTTATAAAAAGCATTTCTAAAAAGAAAAGAAAATGACCATACCATAGACTGGCCCACCTGCATGAGTTTCTACATGTTGGTACTCTAGCTGGAAGGTTAACCGTACAACATTTTAGTCCAAATACGCCTGCACACTTTTTAATTAGATGTGTTTTCAGGGTGGAGTGAAGGTGCTGATCACTGGTCCCTGGCAGGAAGCCAGCTCAAATTACAGCTGCTTGTTTGACCAGATCTCGGTTCCTGCTTCTCTCATCCAGCCAGGAGTGCTGCGTTGCTACTGCCCAGGTAGCAAAGAGGAGACTTGCAATATTTCTATAATAACAATATTTATCTTTACAGTTTTTGCTATACAGTAATCTAACCTATTTGTTGTTTTTACTGCAGAGACCCTTCTTAATGCAGATTGCATTAAGCCATAATTTGCTTGCTAAATTTGCTAAACTTTAATAGAAATGAATTGAAAACCATCACTATAAAGCTGTCCACATTATAAAAAAAGAGTCACTGTTGTACATTTAGTAAATCTTTTTATTTGTCTATTGGATGATGTCTCCATGAATATCTAATTTTGGTATATTGGTGCTACAATGTTTAGCATTTTAATTGATACCTTTATCCTGTTTTGAATCCAGTAAAAATAACCCTAGATAATTAAATCTGAAACCTCTGAAGTATCCATGCAGGGTAGTGTTTATTTGCTCTTTTGATAAAGATTGCGTTTGTGATACTTTGAATATACTCTAATAGATTCTTATCGTCCCTTCCATGATCAGCTCATGATACAGGTCTGGTGACGCTACAGGTGGCCATCAGTAATCAGATTATCTCCAATTCTGTGGTATTTGAGTACAAGGCTCGGGCTCTCCCATCACTGCCATCCTCTCAGCATGACTGGCTTTCTCTGGATGGTAAGTCTTTTTTACATTTTCTTTCCTTTGTATTAGTTGGTTGCAGCGATTTTTTAAAATTATTTATTATTTCCAAATGTTCAAGCCTGTTTTGTAAACACCCCCTTTGAAGTCCTAGCTATCTACTTTTTTTCTCATTTTCTTATTTTTTTTCCATGTGGCTTAATAGCGTTGAATAATGTTTTAAGATGGTCCGAAAAAGAGGAGCTATCTAGTGAGCAGCATTTGTTTATAACTGTTGCACTGTTGTCAGAGGAGAGTAGACTTTTAAAGTGTAACAAAAAGCTTCGCTAGCACATAAGAATCTAAATTGAAAACATTTCAAACTTTGAAGCTTGTAGGTGACAACAGATGAAGAACATGGAGGCTGCTAATCATTTAGGATGCAAGATTTTAAATTGATGCTCCATCTCAGACTCATCAAAGTTGGATAATAACTGATTGGAAAACCTAGACTTCAGCTACAAGATTGAAATAGTAGAGTCAGAATTTGGCTTAAACGACATAAATGCATGGATTTATCAGCTATTGGTGTGCAAGGGGAAGCAGTTTGTGGCCCTGTTGTCTTACATCTGACAGAAGGAAATTCCTAGATTTAAACCCCGGCCTGGGGTCTTTCCACATAGAGTTTGAACATTTGCCCGTGTGTGTGGATTCAATCCATTCACTTTGGCTTACTCCCACAGTTCAAAACATGACTTTATCTCTATGTTTCCCTTTTATGTGAGTGTCTGTGTGCATGGTTGTGTCTCTCTGTGTTGCCCTTATATGGAGTGACAACCTGCCCAGGGTGAGTCCTGCCTCTCATCCTATAATTATTGGTAACAGGCTCCAGCTGCTATGTGACCTTGTAAGGGTAAGACCACTACCTACCTGTTGCTGACCATGTCCATCTGATGGAATCAAGAGTCTTTATTGTCATTATGTAACTTTAATGACATTTTTAGAAACACAAGAGTAAGAATCCTTTGTAGAGACTGCAGAAATGAAAAGAAAAACATCCTTAAGAAGAAAAACAAAACTTATCAAAAATTAAACTCTTTCTTCCATCCATGGAAAAAACATGTATAGACATATAGCATTTGGTATTTATATAAATAGTAGCTGTGCTATGCATGGACTGGTGGTTTATTTGATCGTCAGCAGGAGTGATTATGTGTGTTAGTGATTGAATTTTGTCTATCTGAGGAGAAAAGTGTGTTTGTCCATTTGTCCATGTGAAGGTGACTGCAGGGGGACATTGCCTTTATAGCTTTAGGAGAAACACTGTTGAGTATTTTATTTGTTTTTGGTTTAAAGCTTGTTTACCTGATGGAAGTGGATTGCCTGGGTTTGTGGGGTGTATACCAATGCTTCTGACCCTTTTCTAGGAGCGTACAGCATTGACTGAGTCCAGATGCTGGAGACATGACCCCACAATCCACTGGATGTGGTTTTTACATTATGACTTAGAAAATTCTCATTGTCTATAAAATATGTTGGGCATACAGCTGTAATCATAACAAGAACAAAACCACAAACCATACAAAATAGATGCTGTTTATTTTTTTACAGCAAAAGGGTTTTTATCCTGTTTTATCTTTAAAAAATATTTTGTGGTCATTGGATTAAAAACTGAATTGATGATTCAACAAAAAAAAAATTTGGTTTTGACTGTAACTTTTATTATCTAATCAATTGCAAGTTGGTTTGACCTGATTTGTTATCTGCTGTCTCTGGCATGTTTACATGTGAATTTTAATCTATTTTGTGTTACTTTTTAACTGTCCTTCCTCAGCTGATTATTTAGCCTGCATCAGAGGAGAACACAAAACAAAAAAATCAAAACAACAACAAAGATCTTGCCTACTTTTACATTGCCTACAATTGTAAATGTAGGCAAGATTTTTTTTTGTTAATTATAGCTTATGTTAATGCTGAAATTATTGAGCATTCAATCTTACAATTTCACCAGTTTCTCAATACATTTATTTCCATCTATGCTCTTAACATATTTTCTATAGTTATATTCTGATCTTTATGTCTGTAATAGTAAATGTCTATTTATTTATTTGCATTATGGCTAAATCCCTTTTCTTTTTTAGCATTTTCTAATATATACTAGCTCTAGCATTCAATACTCAGCTTTGGCTCTGACATTGTGTGTTAGAATGCTTATTTTATGTTTTATCATGTGCTGGTGTGTACTAAGCTATATATTGTTGCGGGCTACCCTAAACCTTAAGGGATCTATGTTATTCTTTCAGTGTTTTTTTTGTTTTGTTTTTTCTATTACTTTCTTTGATGTATTTCGCTTTTTACACCGCTGTAAAAGAGAAATCCAAGCTCTTTGTATTTGGCTCAAATTGAACTTGTTGGGTAATTGACTGATTAATTGCTTTAAAATAGAGAGGAAGCATAGGAAAATTGATTTTCTTCATATTTTACAAGGACCTTATTTTATTTGTTCTCTCTAGATCTGTTATGCATGCATTTAATATCTGAAATAAGGTGGATTGCTGTTATATATTCAAAATATATATTTATTTAAAAACCTCATGTCTGGGTATGAGCATGCCTGCTGTAGACATTTGCAATAGAATGTTATACACATAAAAGCCACTTAGTGTTTGCAAATGTGTGTATTTGTGTGTAGGTGTGTGCGTCGGGTTTGGGGGTGGGGGGGTGCTGGCAGAGGTACTGCTGCAGTGTTTGAACACTGAGAGAATAAAGTAGGGCACGATGAACCACGGGCTCACAGGACAGCTGCATTGCAGACAGACCTTCAAGGAGTGGGAGTGAGCAATAGAGACCTGCATGACAGCTTACATACATGGCAGCACCATTATATCCCTCCGCCATTCATAGCCTGCTGCCTTACTGCCCATTCACAGAAGCTATTGAGGAGGAGCTGACTGTCTCAGGGAACACACAACCCACACTATTACTTTACTTATATTAACTCCTTAAACACCATGTCTCGTTGTGTAACATCCTGTTTCTGTCTATTTTTAGAACAGCTGTGTGTTATAATAAACAATGATTAGAAATTAATAGTTTTTTGTTCTTTATTTAAGCTTGATTCTTTCGTTATAAAATTTTGAAACAATAATCTTTAAAAGCTGAATCAACTCAAGAAAAATTTTTAAATGTGTTTTTCTAAAATTATTCAAATATATTCAACAGTTTGCATGGTTTGTCATGTTTTTAAACTTATCAAATCCTAAAAACTGGACAGATATCCACCATGTTTTTATTATTTTTTTCCCATGTTTTGCTTATTGGAAGAACCCAAACTATTTCGAACAATTCTTTGAGATAGAGCCAAGGATGAGGGAGGTCTTGTTGGTCTCCGTCTCCATCTCCCGATACGCTCTCACCTGTTTCTGACCTTTCAGACATTTCAACATCTTTTTCTGAATCCGACATTGTAGCATGGCATAGAGAATTCGCGTATGCAGTTTGAAGAACACCTGCTTGCTTCTGATGATTTTGTTTAGCGTTATATGACTCATCCAATTACACTAGTTTTCAATAGATGTGGATGGCGCCAATGAACTGCATTGGATGGCGCACATGACGTGAAATAAATATTTATAAACATTAAACCAAAGCCAAGATTAACAAGTAACATTTGTTTTAAAAATGTAAGGAATAGAAAGTACAGATACTTGTGTGAAAATGTAATCAGAAGAAGTCAGAAGTAGGAAGAAAAATAAGTAATGGAGTAAAGTATAGATACCTAAAAAGTGTACTTAAGTACAGTAACAAAGTATTTGTACTTCGTTACTTGACACCTCTGCTGTTAGTAACTAACTTTGGTGTCAAAGTAGTTTTAAACAGTGTTCCCCTGAAAAGTGTGATGGACTGCACTTTAGTTTCCACTCCACCACTGTCTGTTTTTTTTTTTTTTGCTACCTGAAATATTTCCAGGGTGATGAATTAGTCGCTCTTGTAACTTTGAGCAACGTGTAGAAGCCTACTTTAGGTCTGCTGGCTGGAAATGTGTTGTAAAATTTTGGGTAAGGACAACTGGAGGCATTGTATTGCACTACATATAGTTCGAGAAAATCACCTACTGTAGCATCTCGCTGAAACTACCTTTAATTATATGGTAGAAATGTATTTAGTATACCGTGGGATATTGCCGATGTTTAATTGCTAAAACTATGTCAAAAAATAAAAGGTTTCTGGAAAGCAGCGTGCATGAGACAGTGTTTCAGCACCACGGTGAATGGACAGCAACGCTGAGCGCAATTAAAAATCCACATGATAAAGCTCCCCTAACCATTTATTCCGAGTTTTAGCATAACTTCTTTTAAAATTAGGGCAGGGTGTCGCTATTTGCACTGATTACAACTATAGGGATCAGTTAGAGCGCACGGGCTAGTTGATTGTGACTTTCAATAACGATAATGAGGCAGCTCTGTTTCCTGTTCAGGGTTCCAGTCAGTCCTCTGGGTTAATACACTGTTATGGACAGGTGAGGCGGCGTGTATATCAGTATTTAGTAAGAGTCCATAGCGGTGTGCGGTTTCCTCTCCCATGGAAGACTTACTGTGCTATGATGTGCTAATGGCACAGCTGCCTGCCTGCCTTGATTTGTCATAATGCAGAGTGGGGGAAGGGGCGCCTTTTCTCTGCAGCACTGCAGGTACGGAGCCATAGGCAGGACAGAAAAGCTCTTGGGGCCGCAGAGCCGCTGCCACATAAACCCCCCGATTCCAGATGCACCTGCCCGAAGAGTAGCCGATTGAATAGAATCGGGCTGACCGTCAGTGATTAGGGAATTATTGACAGTACCGGGGCATGACAAATGGCAGAGCGTTTACACACAATGAAGGCGCCGAGGAAGAGTGGGCGTGTTTGGATAAACATGGAAAACTCCCGCGGATAGACGTGGTTCAGTTTTAAAACATCAGAGACTCTGCTACAAAATACACTTTTTATGCATTCGCTCCAGTTTTGGGACCTCGTGTGTTTGTTAATGAAAGAAGTAAAAACACTGTTGATTTAATCTA